ACTTTGCAGGTGGACACGTGTCCCACTTCGGACTCCGTAACGCGGTTCTTCCAGCATCTTCAAGCAGAACTGGAACAGCAGGCCCGCTTGGGGGCTGTGCGAGGTGCGGAGCTCAACCCGAGGTTGAAGGCTGGGCTCGTCTGCGGAGTTTGTGCCTCCGCCGGCACCCCCGGCGCCTACGACACCTTCGCCGAAGCAGCCTGGGAATCAGTGCAAGTTTTTCCTGTCAGAGCGTGGGTGCCGGCGTGGAAAGGAATGCCGTTATCCTCATACCTGGTCGAGCTTTGAGAAGGCCGAGCGTGCTAAAAGATGTTTGGTGTGTGGGGGAACGGGGCACAAATCAAAGGAGTGCGAGGTTTTTGTGGTGGTGGAGCAACTGGGAAGCCTAAAGATGGACTGCAAGCTGGTCCTAAGGAAGCGTCGGCTACACCTTCATCCGCGCCCTCGAGCGGACACGCTTCACCTTCCCGTAAGGTTGCATTTGATGGCACGCCGGATATAGCGATGAAGGTTTTCTCGGTTTTGGAGGATGTGAAGAAGGTCAAGGCCTTTGCCCCACTGGTTGAGGCAGTGGATCGTTGGTCCCAAAGGTGGACCGCACCGGCTATGCGACGGACCGCGCTTATGGACAGCGGTGCGACTCATCCCCTCCGGCCACCTCGTGATGAGCAAGAATGGCTTGAAGCTATGAATGTGAAGGTTGCGTTGGCGGGTGACGCTAGAACCACTATGAGGCAGACTGCTTCGGGAACACTGTTGAGTGGTGACGAGCTGTCTCAGGTGATAGTACCGCTGGGTCGTGTGATCAACTCTTTGGGGTATCGCCTACAGTGGACTGCAACCGAGTGTGCGTTACTACGTGGGGATGAGGAAGTGATACCTTTGCGTGTGGTGAGGGGCTGTCCTGAGGTGGATGAGTTGGTGGCCAAGAAGCTTATACAAGAATTGGAGCAAACTCAAGTACCCCGCCTCCAGGAAGCAACCATGGAGTCCGTCAAGATCCTCAAGGATGTGGAGGTGAGTTGGTGGTCGTGTTTGGTTGAGTATGTTATTTCTGGCGATGTGCAGGCTGGGAAAGAAAGTTTGAGGAGATCTATGTTTTTGGATCATGATGATCGTGAAGAGTTGTATCAGTTGTTATTACGTTATCCCAATGATGGGGGATGGCAAAGTATGAAAACCTTGGGGCTTAACCGACGCTCGAGGAAACGTCTTATGAAGGCGGCTACCTGGGTTGTTCGCTGGGACCCACCGGGGTTGCGCTACAGGAGCTTGGGAAAACGTCTGAGGTTGCGTGTTTGAATGTGGGTGCTTTACTGGCCTTGGGGAACTTTACGGACGTTTGGAGGGTTCTGTTGTGGGCAGCCACCCAAGGAAGGATTGGTGCTATTCTTTCCAAGGACCTGGGAGCCACCTTGGCCGAGCACGAGGCCCACAAGAAGCATCGTTCCCAAGTTCACTTCCTCCATGCGCTGGCTGCTGCAGGAAAGTATCATATGGGCTCCGTGGTGCCACGTTTTCTGGTGGAGCGGCGAAGGGGCTCTACGTGGGACTCAGTGGACTGGATGTGTGATGGAAAGGCCCAAAGGTACTGCGATGAGATGTGTTTACCTGACCCAATGTTCTTTGAGGAGCAGGCCGTCGAGATTGTGAACGGCCTTACAGGTACTGTTTGTGGTGTTGGGGGGCGTATCAAGCTGGCTAGAATGTCACAAGATGCGGCTTGGCGTCTACACGTTATGAGGAACCATCAACCGTTCCGTCGTGATTGCGCACTATGCGTGCGCAACGCTGCTACAGGGAAGCAGCATCGTGCAACGCTTCACCCGACTGGTTACACGCTGTCAATCGACGTCGCAGGTCCTCTGCGGGGAACTGGCAGGTCGCCGGACGGGAAGTATTTCAAGTGTTTCCTTGTGGGGGCTTTCAGAATACCTTTACTGGATGGTGGAGTTACCTATGATGAGGATTTTCGAGGCCATCCTATTCCAGAGGAGTTTGAGTCTGAAGATGCCCCTGTCCTTTCTGATGATGATCAGGTCGATGTACACCTTGAGGAGGAGGAAGAGATGGCACCAGCGGCTGAGGAAAATCGGGACCAGGAGGAGTGGAAACGCCTTAAGGAGAAGTTCAAGGCTCCGCTTATGACACAGACGTTGTACTTCTGTATTCCGATGAACAGTAAGAAGTCGATGCATATTCTTCCTGCCTTACAACAGATGGTTGTGGATATACGTGGCCTTGGTTACCCTGTTACGAGAATACATTCAGACCGTGGGGGTGAACTGCGGAGCAATGCTATTAAGAGATGGGTGTTGAATCAAGGCATTATGAGGACTACCTCTACGGGCTCTGAGCCGGCTGAAAATGGAGTTGCTGAAGCTGGAGTTCGATACCTTAAGCGCCGAGGACGGGTATTGTTGGATGCGGCCGATTTGGGGCGTGAACATTGGCCCACTGCAATCCAGACAGCAGCCCTGCAGCAAAGGTGTGACAAGCTTGCGATACCTAGCGCAGTGCCCGTGGCCTATGGGGCCAAGGTGTATGTGAAGACAAAAAAGTACAAGACTGGAGATGTTGAAAGTATGAAGCCGCATTGGATGCAGGGGAAGTACCTGGGACCTTCAACTGATGTACGGGGTGGCCATGTTATATTGAAACCAGCAGGGACGTTCTTGACTACAACACATGTACGTGTGGCCCGAGAGCCTCCAAGGTTGGATGATGTTGCCCCTACAATTGTGGTGGATCCAGAGGAGCCTCCACTACCACCACCGGTGGCACCGCCGGGCGAGGAGGAGCCACTTGAACACCCGGGAGATAGACCTCGAGTTGAAGCGGCATCGTCGTCTGGTCTGGGTCGTGGTAGGTCACTAGGACCGAAAAATGCTATGCCAGTTGAACACCCGGGAGATAGACATCAACTTCGTATTTTAGATGATGGTACAGAGTCCATACCGCCGTATCCCAAGGGTCCACCTATCTCGTACAGTCCGCCTGCAGCTAGGGTCAGAGGCAAGTCACCTGGTATTCGTATGAGTACAATGAGAGCTGGCGATTACGAGGACATGGTTGAAGCTATGGAGCAGAGCTGGGACCACAGTGGGGAGGCGTCCTATTCCCAAGAGGAAGTTATGATTCGGGTCCTTAAGGCACAAGAGAGACAAGCAGTGGAGGCTGTGGCGCGTGAGCTATTGAATGCGGGTGATTTCAGCAAGCAAGCGTGCCAACATCTTTTGCGTGCATTGGGTGGTTTTCATACAAGATGGAGAACACCTAGGACCACAGAGGGCCAAGGGATGGTCTTGGGAGCTTACGTGAGAGGAGGCTCATTTGGGGTCACCAATCATGGCAGGAGTCTCCCGTTCACTATGCGGTTTTTGAACAAGTTTATGTTGATTCGTTTACAGTATACTATGCCGGGTTCTACATCAACTTGGACCACTCTGGCGCTTCAAAGAGCATCTGAGATCCCGGCCCACCGTGATGTTCACAATCAGAGAGGGACACGCAACTATGTTATGGAGATCGCAGATGAGTCCCTTGAAGGCTTGTGGATTGAGGGTGACGAGGAGAGTCATCCAGTGGAGGGAGGAGATGGAGTATGTTGTGCCCATGAGTATCAGACTGAGGATGGCCAGGTGTTACAAGGACGAGTCCATTCCCTTGATGAGCCTGTGGCCTGTGATCCTCGTTCTCGACATGCCATGGTGAATGCACCTGGGATGAAATGGGTGCTATCTGCCTATACACCTTCAGGAGTACAAGCTCTACTACAAGCAGATGTGGATTATTTGTTTTCGCATGGTTTTCCAGTGACTGGAACCGGGGTATCGCTACCAACAGTGCGAGCCATTCAACGGGTTTCCTATGGGCCGGGCACCACGTGGGAAACCACACCCACGGCAGGCAGTTCGTCCTTCGGGCCGGAGTTCGTTCCTCAGAGTGGATCTCGAGGAGCAGGGGCAGAGGAGGAGGAATATGCAGGTGACGGTCAGGAAGAAGAACAAGAGGATGAGAACGAGGCTTCTGGGGATTGGGAACTGTTTGTTGAGGACAGTGAGGAGTCTTGCGTGATGCAACAAGATTCTGAACCTGAGGATGAACCCCTACCTCGTTTGCGTGTATTGTGCAGCTCCTCTGACCCTGGACCTGAAAGAGAGCTTCTTGTTCGTCGATATGAAGGATACCTTGAGGATGTCAACGGCGAGCACCAGGTCCAGGAGGAGATGGCAGCGAACCTTGAAGAATGGGAAGTGGTTTGGCCACGAATAGCCAAGGTCGAACCCGAGTTTACAGAGAACATTGAGGGCTTGATTGATGGTCTTCAAGAACCTCTACGGCATACCCACAATGTCAGCCCTCATGAAGTTCGAGCGGCTGTGGAGAAGTGGCGGAATGCTATTGTTAAAGAGCTGGGTGTCGTCGAGAAGGGCTTCTATAGGACTACAGTTGATGGTGTACGAAGTTTGAAGAGAACGCGGAGAGTTCAAGAACTTCCAGCCAAAATGGTTTATACTATGAAGCCGCCTACAGAACCGGGCGAACCTGGTACTGAAGCCTTCAAATGCAAAAGGAAGGCAAGGATAGTGTGCTGCGGGAACTTCAATAGCGAGGATCCTGGGGATGTTTTTGCATCAGGAGCAGCGGCGGAATCGTTGAGGTGTGTTCTTACCCTTACAGCTATGAGGAGGTGGTCTGCAGGTGGCTTGGATATTGGAGGAGCCTTTATGCTGACACCTCTGGATGATGGGGAGAGCGCTGTTCTATTTGCAGTTACTCCGCCGGCCATTTTGGCCCGCCTTGGTCTGGTTGCACCAGACGAACGGTGGATATTAACCCACGTGATGTATGGATTGCGGCAGTCGCCGAAGCTATGGTCGGTGTTTCGTGACAAGACCGTTAAGGCCATGAAGATCGAGCTGGATGGGGAACTGTGGCAGTTTCGACAAGGAGTGGCTGAGCCAAATCTTTGGTACCTGTTCAAGCTTGATGGTGCTACAACTAAGGGGCCAGAGGCGGTGCTGTTGATCTACGTCGACGATCTACTCATATGTGGACCGGACCGGCTGGTGAAAGCTATAGCAACCTCGGTTAGTACAACGTGGAAGACCTCGGACCTGGATGTTGTTGAACCTAATCATGGGATTCGGTTCCTTGGCTGTGAGATTGAGGTCAATGAGGCCAAGGACACATACTGGATCCACCAGAAGCCCTATGTGATGGAGTTGATACGACAACATCAGGTGCCGGAGACAGCCCGCTCTCCAATTCCGTGCCCGCGTGAAATGCTCACCCTGGCTGTCAGTGATGATGAACCAAAGGGTGATGAAGGCGACCTACGACGAGCTCAACGTCTATGTGGGGAGTTGCTCTGGCTCAGCCAGAGGAGTAGGCCTGATATCTCATTCCCGGTGTCGATCATGGGAAGCCTACTTACCAAGGCAGCACCTCGCAGTATTCAGATTGGGACTCGGCTGCTATCGTATCTTCAGAGAACCATGGGTGTTGCTTTGGAGATTAAGCCCAGCAGCGGTGGGTTTGAAGCCTGGAGTGATTGCAGCTACGCTCCGAGTGGGTGTAGATCCCACAGTGGTATGGCGATTACCTGGAACAAAGCTGTGATTGGGTGGCGTTCAGGCCGGCAACCCTTTACATGTTTGTCGACGGCAGAGGGCGAGTTGGTTGCAGCGATTGAGACGCTTGTGCTGGCTATGAGTTTAAAGGCCATAGTGGATGAGTTTGGTGTGTCAATTGCAGATATGACGTTGTGCATTGACAACCAAGCAGCTTTGTCACTGGCCACCCCCGGGACTTCGGCGAGCTGGAGGACGCGCCACTTACGTATAAGATCGGCCTTCTTACGTGAAAAGGTGGATCAAGGTAAAGTTCAGCTGCGGTTTTGTACCAGGACGTTATCAACTGGCAGACCTCCTGACCAAGGGTTTTCCACGTCAAAGGCTGGAAGAGCTTAATGCATTGTGGAGCCTGGTGGATTTGGTGGTGGCGACAACGCAGCTTCATGTGGTGAAGTTGATGGTTATGATGACCATGATGGTGCAGTCTGCCAGGGCTTCTTCGGTGTTGACAAAGGATCCCTTGGCTATTGATACACCGTGGGAGTTATATCTTATGGTTGCGTTGGTGGCTGTGGCGGTGGTAGCTGGTTGGGAATGCCTGTGGGGAGTATGGTATTATGTCACCGGGCAAGAGACACCTGCAGAGCTACGGAAAGCACGGCGGCTGAAGCGCATGCAAGAAGTGGTACAACAGGAGATTGCATCGCAGATAGGTGCAGCAGTCCCCTTGGAGGCTACTTCGTCAGGTACTACGTCAACGAGCTCCACGACCGGACCTCCTCCGACTACTACCAGGGCTCAACAGCGGACTACACCGAGATTGGCCTCATCGCCTATGAGTACGGAGGGATATGGGCAACGGGCCCCGTCTATGTCTACGGCGGGATTGCGAGGAAAAACCGTGTACAAGGACACCCAGAGGGATAAGTCTACACAAACGGAGGCTTGGATGATTCCTTCGCCCCGACCTCTTATTCAGTATGTGGATCGGGAAGTGCCAGTACCTATAGCTGAGCCGGATGGTTGGACGAGGCCATTGTGGGTTTCGGAGCACGGTGAGCACTTTCACACGCTGGATTATTGTTGGGGTCTGCGGAATTCCAAGAATAAGAGGAGACTTACATATTGTACAGTATGTCGCGACAACTTCGGGCGAAACATGTATCCGGAGCGGGCGACTCGTTCGGGTGGCTAGTCAAGAGTCATCTTTGACTTGCCAAGGAGGAGTGATGAAAGGGCAAGGACAACTGCCTTTCATGTCGCCCGCGGCTATCAGGACACGTGGCATATGCAAGCATTCATGCCTAAGGCACCTTGGAATTCAGAAGCCACTATCGTGTCAGTACAGGCCCTAAGGGCAACACACACCGTACAGAGCCAACAAAGGCTAACATAAGGCCTGGATGGGCCACGAGATAGCATGCAGAGCATGTCGTTGCTGTAAAAGTGTGTTTTCTGTGAGCGCCTCTGCGGTTAATCATGGCTTCTGCAGCTCCCTCTGATCCTGCACACCAGCA